AATGCCACATATCATATGATCAATATAAAAGCTTTCTGGCTTGTCCCTCAGTTCTTCCTTGTGGGAGCCGGGGAAGCATTTGCATACGTCGGTCAGCTGGAATTTTTCATTAGAGAGGCACCTGAAAGGATGAAATCTATGAGCACCGGCTTATTCCTCAGCACACTCTCAATGGGCTATTTTGTGAGTAGCCTGCTGGTTTCTCTAGTCGATAAAGCAACAAAAGGAGCCTGGCTAAGGAGCAATCTCAATAAAGGAAAATTGGAAAATTTCTACTGGATGCTTGCAGTTCTCGGAGCGATAAATTTCTTGGTGTTTTTGGCCTTTGCAATGAGACATCAGTACAAGGTGCACAATTATGATGGCCCTGCTGCTCGAGACGAAGAGCTCGAGAATGGGAAGGAGATGTCAATTAAACAAGGGGATAACAAATTAGAAGAGGCAAAGGAAGAACCTTAGTTTGTAAACTGGTTGCTCCTCTCTATATTTACTAAAGAATCAAGATGAAAGTCGTGTTCAAATATTTGCAAGAGATGTATAATCATCCCAACATTTTCTAATTTATTCTTACTCATATCTGAAATGTTGTGTTGGTTTTTAATCTTTCGACCGTGTTATAATTTGGTTCTCAAATATAGTCATCTTCTCTAACTCTTACCTCACCCCTACTCTCAGGTCCTACCCCTACATGACCCCGCCCCGTCCAGTCTTCCCAACATTCTGGTGTGTCGCTGCTCCCACCGCGACCACAAAACATGTACTCCATTAATACGGAAACTTACACAATGCTCGATACCATAACCTACACCACAGATTGACCTAACCATTATATCAACATATCACCTACTTCTGACCCTTTCTATGTTAATTTAGTTTCAGTTTTCAAAAAATTGATGTGGCCCAAACGATTATGAACAAACTAAACAGAGCTAATGAATTATTTGCCAATTTCTGATAAATATGTAACTCACTTCATAGGATGGTCATGGATGAAAAGGTATGGTTGCAAATGTAAGGGTCAATTGCTATATAAACATAGTGGCCGCATTTGGAAAGCTAGTTTTAAAATTGAGTTCTACTTAGGGCTGTCCGTGGGTCGGTTCGATTCGGTTCTGAAGATACCCGAACCGACCCAAAACTTTCGGGTATTTAATAAATGGACCCGTCGGGTCCAAATATAATTATGGAACCGTTCGGGTTCGGTTCCGTTCAGTTCGGTTCGGGTCGGTTCGGTTCCGTTTGATTCCGTACCATAATTAAAATTCTTAATATTTTCAGCAACACTACATAAATACAATTAATAACATTTCATTCGTAACTTTTACAAATTAACGTAGCCCAATTCAAAAAAATATACAAAAATAGCCGTCCAATATGATTAATTCAATGCATACAAATACCAAAAGGTAGATATTAATATTACAGCAAAATTACATAAAGTATATTCATTTGCTTCAAATTAAAATGGGCTAATGGATTTTAAAATGATTTGGGCTTAAAAATTAAAATTATGAAATAATCTAATTTATTCAATTAATTTGCTAATTTGTATAGGAAAAAAATAAAATAATTTAATTAATTCAATATAAAAAATAAAAAAATTATTTAGTTTCGGTTCTTGTTCGGTTCTTCGGTTCTTGGTCTAGACCCGAGACCCGACCCAAACCCATCGGTTCTCGATTCGGGTACCCGTTCGGGTATTTAATTTATGAAGAACCGCTCGGTTCGGTTCGGTTCGGGTTCGGTTCGGTCCGGTTCGGTTCGAGACTTTTGGACACCCCTAGTTCTACTCCAAATAGTTGTTATAATCGCAATAGGAGAGAAGTCATTTAGGGCTGTGCTTACTATTCATATGCTTTCAATAGTTATTGTTCGATTATTTAGGCCCTGTTTGATACCAATAATTTTCCATGGATCCATTTTACTACTTTTTACCTGTTCTAGAAAAAAATTTCCCACCTGCCATCTCACGCGCCTCTTTTCTTTCAAATGGATGAATTTGTTTTCCTTTTGTTTTTGTGGTTTTGATTTTTCAGGTTCTTTTTTTTTTTTTTTTGGCAATTGGGAAAAATTCTAGACACAATGGTAAAAAAATTTATTATTTTTATTGACAATTTCCATGCAAAACAATGTCAAAAGAATGGTATTCGATATGGTAATTTTTTTTTTTGGTTAGTGAAATAAATTCTAAACACAATGGTAAAAGAAATTATCATTTTAATAGACAATTTCCATGAAAAAAAGTTAAACGGACACTAAACTTTCAATATTTTTGAGGTGGAAAATTATACCAATCAAACACAATTAATTATAATTCTCAATAAAACAATTTCTAGACAATTCAATTCCCTAAAATTCATTTTCTTTCCACCTATTTTTCACATTCACAATCAAACTGAGCCTTAGTGTTTAATTAGAACACAATAAGTGTATCCTTCCTGATTCTCTCTTACTAAAAAAATATCTTCTCAATGCTGTGACGCCCACTGAATATGAACCCCAATTTTGGTGTCCTTTTCAAGTATTTCATTATTGGATGCTATTCATGGTGCTTATTGTTCTTGGAAATAAGGGTTTTGTGACTCGTGTCAGTGTTTGGTAAAGGATTGCGAAGATGGAGATGGTGGGGTGGAGTGGTTTTCTGTTTGGCAAATATTTCTTTGTTGCTCTTTCTATATTTTTATGTTATTTTTATTTAATTTAAAATAGTATTTTACATAACAGAGTTTTTAATAGTTAATCAAAAACATTTTGTACATGGGGAACCTAAATAATATAATTAAAAACTTAAATACTCTATCGTGTAAAGGCTAAGGATCTCAACTCTAATTTTCCTCAAAACTAAAAACTTCCTTTTTAGTAAGAGAGATTGAGGGATATACAATGGCGGCAACGAGTCGAGCTGAGCCTGCTCACGGGCCCAAGCTTAGGGCTCGGTATCAGTTCGTAAAAAAAAGGGCTCGAGCTTTTTGTGCTCGGGTTGGGCTCATCCCCAAAAAATGGGGTTTGGCTTGGGCGTTGACTAGAGCTTTTTGTCGGGCCGATCCGACTCACAGACTTTTCAATTTTTTTTATTATTCGAATATACGAAAAATTGATCATTAATTCACAAACTATAAAATTAATTTAAAAACTATAAAATCAAGCATAAAAAGCAGGCCGCACGAACCCACATAAGGGCCGGCCCGTATTTGGGCTCATTTGCCACCACTTGGGATATATGTTGTTGGCCTTTTATGGAAATTACTCATCTATGGGAGTCAAGTTAAGAGCCTAAATACCAAGAGGAAATTACACCTACACCTGCTTTTAGATTTCCATTTTCATAAATCCTGATTCAAGTTCCACTTTTCAAAAGTCAGGTTTTAATTAATAATTAAAAAACAAATTAATTTTTTTTTTA